CGTGTTTCAATTTCTATAAAGTGATGAAAAGTTGCGATTTGTCTTTAAAAGTATCTAGTATTATGGAAAGTGTTTTAAAAGTTTCATTTAAAATGAAATAAATAATTGAAAACAAGGTGAAGGTTGTAACTATAAATGAAATTACTTGAAAAATGTAATAGGTATATTTGAAAAATGTTAATGGATTTTTAGTTTCTCAATCTGAGCTCGGCAGCGAGTGCTGAGAACTTTTGTAGAAGAATTACTGATCTTAGGTGTCAGTGGCATCGAGAAAGTGGCAATAAGAATATACTTGGAAAATTTAGGTATAAAAACATTTTTGAAACAAGCATTTAAATATTTACTTGATTATAAATTACACAATGAAGCATCTTTACAAATATCGTAATTCGATTTTTCCATCGGTCGATTTTTCCTGTACGTTGTCCAAGGTGAAATCTCTTTTATTTCTTTCGAGGAAACGCAAATTACAAATAATTTGTCAAAAATTTCAAGGAAATGAACATAAATCCATTCTTGCAGTGAAAGCCATGCACATGCAAGTAGTACTTCTTTCAGTGCCGACTTCGACTGCGTTCGCAGTGAATCTGTTCTTTTTTTTTGCCATGTTCAGTACTATAAATATTTTTAGAATATATCTATGAGTGAATATAAAGATTTAATAATTCATTTCTGTTGCATAAGTTTAAATTACTAATTCTATGCAGTAAAAGTGCAATAAGTAATTGAAACATTTCTGCGCATTCAGCCATAGGCTATAGATTACACTCATGGAACATCTAATTATCTTTGTTGCAAAGAACTGAAAGTGCTGTAAGATAAATTGAAAAACAAAAATTCTAAACCAGAGAAAAAAATAATCGTCAAGGAAAGGTAAGTCATAAAAAGTCAATAAAAAATTGAGAAAATTTTTCTTACTTAAACTAGACAGCTACAAAATGAGGAAAAAAGAATTAAACTGGCACTGACTTTTTAAATATTATTCTACACATTTCGAGGATGATTCGCAAAAATCCTCCTTCAGGAGGGAAAAAAATAAATATTTTTACTTACGCGGTTTCGAAAAATTCGAAGTAATCGTTTTTCTTTTTAATGAAACAACGTTTTTTATGGATTTTTAGTTCATATCCGGATTTAATCATTAAATTAGCCATCTCGGAATGATTCTCTTTTTACATTAAGCTATATTTAAAAAAAATCCGAAAGCTTTCAGATTGTACATTACGCCTAAAGGGGCGTATTTTTAATGGTTTGTCGGTTTCCAAATTCCAAATTTGGGCTTCCAGATGCCCATATTCGGATGAAAACGTACATCATTCAAAATTGGATGGCTCTTAGGTTATCACAATGCGAGAAACATACGTACATTTACGCAGATCCTTCATTATTTAATTTCTTTTAATATAATACAAGGCTATAATATTTGGTGGCAACAGTATGAAAATTGAACCGGCATTTCAAATTTTTCAACGCAAAATGCCAAAACGAAATTAATAGCCCTTCTGGGCTAATGCCCTTAGGGCTAAAACAAAACCGGATTCTTAGAAAATTTTCACTAATACAGTTTTCTGAATTTCTTCAACTTCTCCGAAAGCAATCGATTATTTCTATTATTATTTACCTAACATTTTAAAAATCTATATTTTGTAAAATCTGACGCTCATAACGTGTTTAAGTTCTGTTATATTAAAATGGTTTCTGGAGCTTCGTCTAAAGCGAGAGTGATAAAAAATATTGACCACGCAATTTTTAAAATTAAAAAAAATACATCATGTTATAATTTTATATATTCAACAGCTGCGTTTTGTTTCATCACGGACCACACGAGTTTCTTTGAAAAGGGTACTAGTTGCAAACTTCATTGTTATATTTTCACGTTTAGAGAACTTTATTTCGTTCGAAGATGGCAGTTTCTTTCGTTTTCCGTAAGTTATTCCTCCTTGGTTTTTTGTAATGAACTTTATCAACACCTTATGAAGCACCTCAAAAACAGGTTTTATTTTCTCTGGGTTAAGAACTGGTATAATGTTAGTTGTTTCATTAATTTAACTATAAGATTAAAAATAAATCAGACTTTCATTAACTGTTCAAAGAAACTTTATTAATACAACATTTGATATTTGAGATTTATTTTAATAGTCAAAATGAATTTCAAAAGCTTAAAAAGTGCTTTTCTTTTTCTCTTGCTTTAATTAAATTGTTCTTCATTTACTGAGAAGTAAACGAGAAAGTTCAGCTTTTAAAAATTTTACTCAACGTTCTACACTTCAAGTGTCTGCTTCATATAGTTTCAAATTATGTTCCACCTTCAGTTTTATTTCAAATTATTTTTAATTACGTAGTTTGTTATGATAGCAGATTATCATAAAAAAATTAAAAACCGCAACGGTTTTAAAATTTTTTAATTAGCGCCTTTGTTAATGTGATAAAGTTACCAACGGAAGTTAATTTCATCACAGAATACACAGCATTATAAATTCTAAAACAAGGTGCTAAATAATTAGACATATTTGATAACGTGTATCTTTTCCATGTATCTTAGTAACTGCGAGCATTCGATACGGCTTTAAGTCAATAAATGATTAAAAGTGTTCATAATAATTGATGCAAGCCAACGGTATTCATTATCTAACTCTCCATAAACCAATCTTGTTTTGTCTACGTATTTCGATGTAAGACTTTCAGTGAAGTCTGTATAATAGTTCTTCAAATACATATGAGCTGGGACACCAAAATTGCCAAAAGTAGCCAAAGTCGGCGACTTTTTCACGTTGGCCGACATCTAATTAGCTTAGAAAAAGGTAGTATATCCTATACGTTCGGTCAGCAGCTGACTTGAGTTATCTACGAAATCTTGGCTGAAGACAAAAACCTCCGCCCATTTGCCGCCCACCTCTTGAGTTCAGAATTCAAAGTTCCAGTTTTCTGGTTTTCAAGCAGCATCGATCGGGGTCAGTTTCTGGGAGGGTGACCTCCCATGTGACTGGCTCCGATGAATGAACAGTTAGTATTCGGGCTATCCTACACAGGTCATCCGAAGTTTCTTTCTCCGGCCCCTGCATGGCGGATTCCATCCAAGATGTAGCAGTACAGGAGCAAAGTGCTTCTTTTTCTCTCTCCAGCACACTTCTACCTCCACGAGAGAAAATTTCTTTCAGGTTTCTACTCTGTCAGGCCCCACATGGAAATCACATCAGGAACTGGCAAGAGCAGGACTTTAATTTCCTGCTGAAAGCCAGTATAACCGCAAAGTTCCAAAGTTCCAGCTGACTTGAGCATAAAATGGTATTTAGCACTGAGGATTTTGCCATCTGAAGCAATTTTCTTCTCTGAAGAAATTACTCTTCTTTCAGATATTTTTATCTTTCTTAGGCGAGGATAATCCCTTTATAACACTACCTACGAATATTTTTCCTACATTCTACGAACAACCTTTTCCACATGCTCTTGATGCTTGTCAGGTATTTTATGAAAGCCCACAAGCATCTGCCATCTCTGAGGCAGGGTGTTCTGTTACTTTGGCTACTATAATAGTTCAAATAGTAGTTAGTCATGCAGGCATACCATGTTTAAACACAGAGTTGCAATTGCTAAAATTTCCCTCGTTACGTCATCCATCAGTCATTCAACTATAACTGTTTACGTAGAAGAGAGAACAGTTAAAATTTTAAAGAAACGCTATACCTAATTTTTAGCTCTGTAATTTATTACAGCAATTATTTGTTAAGCTTTTATAAATTTTGACTCTTTTTTTTTTGTATGTACTTAACTCTTTACAAACTTTTAGTGCATACCTAAAGTTCCTCCTTGTCATATTGCTAGTACTACTACCATACCACCACACAACATTTGATATTAAAACATCTGATGTGGACACCAAATGACTTCCTTATAGGGCTTAATAAATTATACACATTTTCCATGCACTTCATCACATAAACTTATTCCCTCGAATTATTCTAACTTAATTAACCGATTTCTCACGTCAAGCTGAAAATCACATAAAAATTGCAAATTTTGAAATTAAATATCCCGGTCAATTTTTGTTCTACGCGATTTAAACTTCTTTCATTTTTATTTTTTCAAAACAGGTATAAAACTTTCCCAAATATGAATATAAGAAAAGGGAAAGCGCGATAAAAGTTAGATTTTGCTATTTGTCGAAAATTATTTTTTTTTTTTTTTCAAATTTGAAGTTGTCGAAACATTAACATTTTCGTGATTTAAAACACTTCTGTAATTGAAAGTACATGACTGCGAAAATACAAGCCGGGTACAGATTTTTAAGCAGGGTAAGAAGGTATATATACACGTTTGGGTACTGCCGATTGTAATTAAAAAGGAAGTGGCACAACTAGATGATATAGCAGCCCCATATATAAAATTTAAACGTTCTATGACCAATTATGTTTGAGTTAAGCGAACTACATAAATAGAGAGAGAGAAAAGTCCCGAAGAAAATCCCTTTTCAATCAATTTAAATCAATTTTACAATCCGTTTCGGAAAAAAGGAGGTTTTCATCTGTACGTAGAGACATTACGCAAAAAAATCGTCTAAATGGATTCAGGAACTCTACCAGCAATTTTTTAAGATTATAATACTTCCTTTACTTCTTATAAGGAAAAAATATAAATAATGATAAGAGTGCAAACATAATGTGTAATTAAAATGCTTCCATTCAAGGATTGAGTGCCAAGGCAAATACAAGGCTTCTAAATTAGTTCCAGTAAGAAACATTTCAATGAAACGCAAGGCATCAAAATTTATAAGCAAAAATCAGAGTTATACTGAAATTAATTTTATTGCAAAAGATGCTTTGTAAACGTGTCTAGCCACATTTTTACTGATCTCAGTTTTATTTTTTTTTCTATGAATTATGCTAATAAAATAGCTGTCCCTGTTTTGGCAACATCATAGTTACTTTGCTTAAATTTTGTAACAGAATTCTAATATTCGCACTAAAAATATATTTAAAGCTTTTCATTACAAAATGTAACTTTCATTTTAATTTTAGGAACAGTAAAATAAAATAAAATTTCGGTGTTCTTTTACATTTCAGGTTGTTTCGAATTACAATAGAAGCCAAATATTGTGACAAGATTAAATATTAGAGAATCAGCAAGTGAAAGAGGGATTAAAACGTGAAACGTTATGGATGACGAAGCCTAAAATAGACAGTTAGCGGAAACTGACAGAACCTGAAGGTGTTATTCAACAAAATCCAATTCACTAGTGAAAGAATGCTTTGGCTGTAAGTTTCTCAAAAGAAATAACTGAGATGTCAATGGTGAAAAGCAGTAATAGATTTCTAAATTTGTTATTCGGAAGTAAACTCTGTGTTTCTTAATGTAAGATTTCGAGGTATTCTAAATTTAAGCCATGCCAAATAAATATGATTCAAATGGAATTTTGCAATTTTTTTGAGGAATTCAGATATAGAATAAATAAAGTCTTTATGAACTGATATTCAAATTTTGTAAAAAGATGAGAAAAATAATAAATTTATAACAGACGATGCAGTTTTGAGATGAATAAAAACGAGAATGGCAGGTAGAATATTGGGATTGCATTTAGAAAATGAACGATGACTGCGAAAGGGAAAAAAAATCAGAACTTAATTAATAACGTAAGAATAATTTCTGTGGACAGCAAAATTTCAAAGTAAATGAAATTTGAATAAAAGAAAAGAGTGAGAAATAAATACTGATTGTATGAAATGCAAAACAGTACGAAGAGCCCAGCACAGCAATCCAATTTTTTGCTTCAATGCGAATAAAATTCGTGTTATGTGTAAACTATCATTAAGGTATTTCAAAACAATTAGAAAAAAGTTTCAGATATACTATAAAAATGAAACTATTTTAGTACATGATACTTTACAGTGTTTAAAAAGCATCTTGCAAAAATTTAAAAGCAAGTAAAGAGAGCTGAAATAAGAAAATTGATACTGGAATGTACTTGTCGAAATGGCGCTTTAACATAGTACAGGACGCTGCTGAGCGATACATAAAAGCATTCTGCTGGCATAAACTTCGATTCTCTGCTGGCATAAACTGTGATTCCGAGCACAAGCTTAAACGCGAAGCTCAACTGTATGCATTTTATTTTGGGATTGCGGATGGAAACGGAGCAGCTGCTTAAAGTATGTACTCGAAAATCATTCTCTGTGTACTATAGTTTTAGCCATAATCCTGTCGATAAAATTCATGTCGACGAACTTCCGTTTATGTAGCAATGCGTATCACTAGAAATCCACATACGGACAATCATGGCCATCTGATGACTAACAGCCTTGACCAAAGAATATATATATAGACTTTCTTTGCCTTGACGGATATCTATGAAACTAGACCGTCAATCTCGGAACGCCTGCTATTGTTAGCTGGGCGAGTTCAATATACGCAGGTGAGAAGAATAGAAAGGAAAGGTTCCGGAATGGTTTCCAACGGAAATAATTAGATCGTGGAATGGCTTTCAGTGGGTACTAGGGAAAAAAGGGATATGCTCGCTGACTTATTCCCGAACCGTGGAAGGAGTATCACTGCTTATTTTTATGCTCATGTTTTATTGAACATTTTGGTTTAAGGACAGATTAATTTATCATTATGAAACAAAAAAATATTCGTAGAGAAATACGTGTTGGCTATGTAAAATTGTATGCTATTTAAATTTGCTTAAAGGATAACGTTTTGGCGAAATGACATATTGTTTTATTCCAACGAATTTAATATTTATTATAACTTTATTACGGTAAGTAACAGAGTTACATGAAGTTACAATAGACTGTAAAGTTTTTATTTACTTAAGGTATTGTAGAAAATTGTACTATAAAAAAAGGGGGGCAGACAATCAATAAATATAAATATACACTTACTAACGAACGCTAGCTACCCTCACAAAGCAGGAGCCCGTTCATAGTAGGCGCTCAATCTCGGAACGACTGAAATTCCCTATACTCAAAATCCCTTTTCCTTTCTCCTCTTACCTCATCCCTACTTTCACGTACCATACCTACAAATCTTGGACTCTTCCAGCAAACAATAGAATTAGTTCCGGGATTGAGCGCCTACTATATCTATGTGCTTAGATTTAATTTTAATATTAATATTCGTCTAAATTCATTGCATTTACACATGCACTAAATTTACTGTATTATGATTTATTGCATTTATATATAAACTTGGGTAAAAATTACAGTATTTAATAATTTAATTTTAATGCTTTTAATTAAGTAAATTTACAGTATTTACAGATTGCAACCCACAAGGTTCTTACATTGAGTAGTAATCTACTGGCCGACTCCCAGGTGACCTTCAACCTGTAGAATATGAGAGTTCTTAAAATGCACCGATGAGTTTAAATTTAATTGTAATCTATCAAAATTTGCGTTATTTCCCCACATCGGCGACCTGCATGTTGATTCCAAGTGACTCTCAACTTACAGGACAGCAATGTAGTCGCCGGGCTTTGGTTTACCCTTGATGGGTGCTGGTTTGTTACGATTTAATTTTAATTTAAATATCTTTCAAATTTTACCGGGTTACACTGACTTACATTGATCTAATTCCAGATCCTCAATCTGTATGTTACCATTGACCGAATCCTTGAGACACATCGGAAGGTTCCAATTATGTATTTTAATATTAATATCTAACTAAGTATACTGCACTTTGCTAATTCGACAACTTGTGGGTTGACCCTAAAGAGGTTATCACATCTAGCGATGGTCCCTGCTAGACGGGACGTTTCTGAGAAACGAGATTCTGGTAGCAGTGGTTTAAACGGGAGGACTCCTAGAAAAAAAATAGATCCATTGCAAGCGAAGTCCCGCCTAGCTATGGAAACGATTTACCGGCTACGCGGGATTTTTTGAAACCTCGGCGAAAATGTTTCGGCTGGAGCTCTGTCCCGGGTAGAGATCAACCAATCAGACAAAAGTTCTGCTTCTGAAGGATCACGTGATGCCAATCTGAGCGATCATCGATTACTGTTTGGCGTTGTAGTAGGTGAAATGGTAACCCAGTTACGTAGGTCTCGTAGAAATGTGCGGGTTCTGAGAATTGTCCCTTTCGACGTCCAGTTCCTCGTAGCGGAAACATAATGTGATTGGGACTTTAGTGACTCTTAATCTGAAAGTCATTATCTTATAAGGTATTTCTTCCGCCTTCTTAGCGTACCTTCGTGGTGAAGTGGTCTGCATGCTAGGCGCGTATTCCAGACGCCCGTGGTTAGGCGAAGGCGTTGCTCATTTTTCATTTTTCTGCTTCCGAAAACATACATAATGTCTCTATAATCTTACCGGGCATGAATCAGGCACTATGATCAACAACCTAGATGAGCAGTGTACTTCGAAACTAATGGCCACGTGTTGAATCTTCGGGGTGGACTCGGATCATTTTCTTCCCCAAGTGTTCCAAAATGCTACTTTAATAAGAAGTTCCATTGATTCTTTGTCCCCCGGTCACAAATGCATAAGAAATAAACAATTCCATTACTGTCATAAAAATATGCTAACATTATCTTCAGTTTTGACTTCTGAAGATGCATTCTTTTCTCTTTTAGTAATGATGGTGACTCTCATTCGGATTGCATTATATATTGTCTACATTTTGGGTTCATAATGAAAATATAGCTCATTCTAAAAAAATATTTCCTAATGATCAAACACTTGTCTTGTTAAGCATGTAAAGACATGCTAACCAATTATTTTTAGTTGACTTTTCTTTCCCTCCTGATTTCAGTTTCCTTCCTGAATGCAAATTTTAATGACGTAATATGCAAAATCCAAGTGTCTTCAGAAGCAGTATTTAAGCGGAGTTTCAAGAGTTCGTGAGGAGTAGTAGCGGAGTTAGTTCCGAATTTATGCTGCGTATTTGAAATAGCTCTTTAGTTGGTGTTAGCCACTCTTTTCCGATTATATTGATATTTTATTTTAGGTTCGGCTTTGTTGTGTGCAGCCGATTTAGCGGTTTAGATAAATAAAGAGCCAGTCGATTAGCCGTCTTAATTTATGTTTATTTTACATTTTTATTTCCTGTTCAATTAACTTTAGCCACAAGTGGTGGTGAATTGTGAGCACCGAGTGAGTGCATCATTGTTACGTTAGTTCAAATGAAAAGGTTACGTAAACCTTCTTCTGTAGTATTTGTTCTTCAAAGACGTAGGGAGAATTCGCTACGCAGTCTTTTCACGTAGAGTCTACTGTGAATGCTCCTAGAAAAGACATAGACTCGAAGAAAAGACATAGACCTAGAAAAGACATAGACGAGTAATAGTACGGAATGTCTCAGCCCATCGGTCATTTAGCCATTTCATTGTAGAGAATGTTGTCTATGGTTCAGCACAGGAGATAGATCAATAACGAAAGCACTAAGAAAGCAAATGCGAATATCTCAACCTTCTTTCCAGAACCCAAACCCGAAGTCAAAGGTATGGAAACTGGTGGCAGTAGCATATTGAACATACGTTAAGAAATATCTATTTCAATACATCTTCTGTGTACTTAATATGATCAAGTTTTTGGTCATCCAGAAAAAATGACGCGTAAACTATGTACAGGCTTTTTTTTTTATCCATTTTTTTCATTAAAATTAACAAATCGTCTCCTGATGAACACCGAAATTGTCTGTAATTATCGTTACAGTTAAATAATGATCTTCATATAACCATTTGCTTTATGTTTCCTGATTTCGTTACAGAGTTCGGAAGTCCAGGCCTAATTTCATCTTCAATCGCTCGTACATCACTTTGAATCATGCGTATGATTTGCGTATGTTTCCATGCCATAAACAATATTCCCATAAACGAGTCTCGTTAATTCAACTGTCTTTGTAATACTTGTGCCGAATTTGAAACAAAATTTTATCTCCGGTTTTGCTACTAATTAACTGAGTAAAACGTTCTTTCAGAAGCTTTAATGGCTGTAGTTCCTGTAATGCTTAGTGGATGTCAACGGAATAGTACCAGATATTGCCAACGAGGGTTAATTTTTCAGTTACATATTTTGATTTACTAATGGTATTTGAAATTTTAGCCGTAATAAAATCAATACTTTAATATATTCGTCGTACAGTGTACTTTGGGAGAAAGGAAACTGTATAACTGAAGAGTTTTAGTGAGTTTTAAATTTTCAGCGCTATTTCATTATCATTTTTCTATTTGTTTGACATCTGTACTTAATGACATAATAAAGGACTCTTTTCTCCCAAACGAATTATAAAACTGTTTTAAAACGGATTCAAAGAGATTTTTTTCGTGGCGTCTGTATGTACATACGTACGTACCTATGTATGTATGCGAGTTACATACGTAAACGAGATACCTATGCGAGATACATACGTACGTACGTATGTATGAATGTATCTCGCATAGGTCAAAAACGAATAGCCTCAGAACGTTGAAATTTTGTATATAGGACTGCTATAACATGTAGTTGTGCACCTCCAGTTTCGGTTGCATTCAGCAGCACCGAAAGTAAGTAAATATATATATATATATATACATATACTCACTCTGTTACTCGGCTCTGTGAGCTCAGTTTTTTTATTCTTGAATGTTGCTAAATTGGTAATATTTTGTTTCAAAAGTAATTGAATCATATTATTCTTATCTTCTTGTTAAGAGATTTATGTCTTTAATTAATCTGCATGCAATAGTTGCAGAATTATCAACAATTTAAAAATTGTTTAAGTGCTACTAAGCCTAATTTTTTTTATCATCGCAGCCATATTTGTTTATATTGGAAACTTAGCCAAACAATGAATTAAGTCTTTATGTACCTTCAGTGCCCTTCTTTCTGCACCTTCAGTTGCCGAGTGAGACCAAAAGAAAACTTTTAGTTTTGTGCTTTTGTTTTTGTCTAAAAACTGTAATTTTAATTGTAAAAATTGTTTAATTGTTTTAACTGTACTTGGTGTTTTATGTTTTTCTATATCTTTCAATTTTTAATGAAGATATTCTGAGTTATTTAAGGTATTTTTGCCTTGACGCGAAATGAAAACTGAATTAATTGAATGAGAAATAAATCTGTAATGAAATTCGAGAAAATAAGCTTAAATGAAATGCAGGAAAAAATGCGTTTAATTTAATATCCCGCACAAGGAAGTCATGTGGTGCACACACCAGATTTTTTTGCTTTGTCTTGAAGGTAAGTAATATTTTTTAAGAATCGTTTAAAAACTTCTCGCTTTCGTTTCACTCATTCATTTAAAACATACACGCATTAATTTCTTACATACATGCATGCATGCATACATTTCTTCTTACATACATGCATGCATGCATACATTTCTTCTTACATACATACATACAAATATACCTACATACATGCATTTTCTGATGACTTTTTTGAATTATTTATTTATTTATAGTTTTTCTTTTTTGAACTCGTGATTTGAAACCTGAAAAGAAAGCTGCACTTTTCTTAACGGAGGTTGGATTCATTCCGTTAGAAGAGTTAAGTTTCCAATGCTCTAAATATTCTGGTAAAATGTGTAATAACAATTATAAATGTAAAATGCTGGATGGTATAGAATTTGTAAATGAAATTATCGCAAATAAAATATATTGAGACTAGTAACTCTCACTTAATACCTTTTTATTCGTCCTAGAATTCTACTTTTAGGCTTTTTAAGGATCAATTCATTTTCATTTAGTTTCCGAGATTCCATTTTATTTAATTCAGATCAGATTTCATTGTAGACGAAAAGCTAAGTAAAAATTACCCACGTCTTCCGTTTTAATTTCTGCATCAAATGAGAAATTACACCTCGTAATAATTGTTAATATTAAACTTTAAAAATAGGGTACTTTTTCTTTCGTGTTTTTAATGCAACTCAGACAATGTCTTAGAATATGTATGTTTTGTTAGAGCATTTCTGAAATTTAGAAGTGGTAGAATATTAAAATTTTCATATTTTTGCGTCTCAAGAAAAGCTTTATTTTGAGAAGCTTTTCACCGACGAAGACGAAAAAAACAATCCTTCAGGCTCCTTCAGTGAAATGGAACGAAAAAGCGATCGCTTTTATTTTTAGCTGATTTTTTTTTATTATAATGATGTCTTTTGTTCAAAAGATATCTGCAGTTCTTGAAACATAAATAATATTAGTGTTTTCCATCATAAACTGAAAGTGTGTTTCAAAACAGAGAAACCCGAATAAATAATAATTAAATTTCAAAGTTTAAGGAATTAAATATAAACTTACATTTATTAAAACACAGCGAAAAGGAAAAAAAAATCCTTGTCTCTTTTTTTACTGCCAACAGATATACAGATATTAAGCGTTTGTCTTAATATAAATACACAGATGAGATATGTATACAGAGAGAAGCAATTAAGCGAAATTACCGAATTATTTTGACACACTGGTATTTTTATCAGAGTTTTATTTTGATGTATAGTAACTATACTGGATATTTTTATGTTCAATTATTATTATTTTTATGTTCACCTATTATCAGTTTTATTGTCTTTCATCTTTCATATTGCCTTGGATAATAGGGGATTTATGGTTATTATTGCTCAGTCAATATTGAACTTTGACATTTTGCTTCCCCTTTTATAAAAATTGAATTTCTTTGTATATTGGTAGTTATATTCAACTTCTTACATACAACGGAAGAGTGAATGATGGCGAAACTGTAAAAGTCACGGTGAACAAGATCAACAAGGAATTTGCATTGATGGAAAAATGGCGGGTTAGTCAAGGCGAAATCTACGCTTTAACTGGTGGCTGGAAGAGGAACCAATATCACCGAAGTTATAAAGAATGACCGAAGGAAAACACACAGACCACAGAATGCAGACTGCGTACGGGAAAAAAAAAACATTCTAATGAAGTAGCAAGCTTCATCTAAATATTCGGAAGGGCAACGGTAGACCACGAGAATGAAGGACCGAATCCAGAAGTGAAAAGAAGACACCTCACGGCCGGAATTGCCAACCCCGGAGACGTATGAGGACCATGGAGCCAGTTATCCGATCTGGACGGAGTTGCTGGAGAAGCAGATGTTGGACTTCCACAAAAATACAAGATAGTAAAAATTTGCTTTACTTCTTCAAATAACAGTTTATTTTATGCATGTATACGAAGTTGCTAGTATATTTTTATTTTTACCTTGAGAGCGAGGATATATAGTTTTAATGCAGCGAAGAAGTGTTTCTGATAAGGTATTCATCTACTTTTAAAGATTTTATGCTTATGTGTTAAACACGATTATATTTAGTCTAAAACTCGGTAATGAGTAGAAAATTTTGGTTCAGATACAAAGCAAATAATAGCAACTATTCTCCATTGCTATTAAAAGTTAAAATTAAGTAAAGTAATACTTTGAACTTAAGTATGCTGAATGAATTTTAATGTCTTGAATATTTGAATTATGTCAATCACTAATGTATTGTACGTACTAAAGTTTTCCTGATTTTTGTATGTATTTAATTAGAACTAAAAGCTAGCATGTGATGGTAAATTAATCTAAGGTTAGGCTTTCGAGCCAAAACTTATGTAGTTTAATAATACTTAAGTCTAGAACATTAAACATAGTTTTGAAATAAGGTGTCGTTGGGGACTATTGTGTCTAATGCTTATGTAGGAATTCGGTTATCAGATAGTTGTTGAAAATACTGCACTTATACACACTGTTTCTCCCATTTGCGGAAAGCAGGGTGAAAAATGGGTTTAGATAGAAAACGTAAGTTATGAAAAGTTGTTTTTATACTTGAATATTGTATAGCTGAAATATTTCTATGTCTAAACTATTTTTCCTCCAGATTCGTGGAAGGAGATGTGAGATGTTAGACGATAATGAATCGGGAAAGAAAGTAAAGATGAAATTTTGTAGAACGCAAATTTAGCATCCAGAATTTCGTTAAGTGTTGCACAGGTTGTCTCGTGCTTTTAGATATTGGAATTTTAAAGTCTCATCCAAGGTCAATAGGAGCTTCGTTTTCGAATTATTTAAATTCTGGTGGCGGAAAACTGAAAGGTATTTTATTTTAATTAACGAATTATTATGATTTAGGTCTTAGCTATGAATGTTTCTTTCCGCAGTCATCACCAAACTGCAAATTAGTTGTTTCTGTGTATTGAAGCTGATGGTTTGAATGATTAGATTAAAGCTTTTGGTAGCTGTATTTTGCTGTTACTTAATGCCGGCAGCTCTGCCTATGTTGTATACCAGCTTACTGTAACGTCTTGTTGGCTAACGTTTTAAAATACAACGCCGATAAATATCTAAGCCAACTTGAGCAGCTTGTTATATGTGTAGCCCCAGAATACTTTCCTAAATTTGAAATTTTCCTTTCAGTTGTATTAATTTAAATACTTTCAAGTAGCGCAAGCTCATTTGAGTACAAGCTGTGCTTTTCTATTCAATTATAACTTAAATAAAAAAAGGTGATTTTAAACCTTGCTTTGTGCTTATTTACAGACAAAGCGATAACTCGCTATTAGTACAGCAATTTTTACAGGACACAAGCATGTAGGTATAGTAAAACCCTAAAAATTGACTGATGAATAAACTCCTGCTATTATATAAATTAGTATGGTTTTGAGAGACAAGAAATCTGAAAAGAGTAAAGATTAAGTGAAGAAACTGCTTTCATCTTATAGGGCCTGAAGTTGTAAAATATTGTTCAAGTTACATTTTCCTCACTTTCTTTTGAGTGAACGTGAATTATTTCATCAAGATATTGCCCAGCCTGAGGAGATGCAGTAGAAAATGCAACCCAGATTAAAATAGCTGACAAATGTCTCTTACTTGAATGCAAAATCATTTTAAGGTATATAAAAAAGGCGGCAAAATAAAGTTAATAATAATAATAAAGCAAATATTTCATAATTATATTTATATTAAATGGAGATTGAAAGACTAAGCCTCAACTTGTAAGTGATATCTAAATTTACTGTTTTGAAATAAAAAAAAAAAAAAAAATAAAAAAAAATCTGAAATGTTTCAGATTTTAAATTACGTCCAAAGGGGCGTTTTTTAACATTTTGTGTGTTACCTTTTTTATTAAATATCATGTTCCTCGCACTTAAACCATAAGATCCAGTGCAACAGCAATATCGCAAAATAGTTTTAAAACGAGCATATCTTTAGAATTTCCGATACAGAGACTCACGCGCTGGAGATAAAAATGTTTTTCTACACAACGTTGCCATTGCTCGCTTTGAAATCCTTGAGTTTGTTAATAAAAATTCGTCAAAGTTTTAAAAAATAGGAAATCGATCATAAAACAAATTTCAAATTTCAAATTTGGTCTTCCACATGCTCATATTCGTTGGAGGATTACGTTATTCAAAATTCGATGACTCTATGACCGTTGTTTATATGACAATACGAGAAATATACATACATTTATGCAGATTTTTCATTATTTAATTTCTTCAATATAATGCAGGACTCTAACATTTTGTGGCAACAGTTTGAAAAGTGAACCGACATTTATGAGTCCGACGTAAAATGCCAAAACGAAACTAATAGTCCTTCGGGATTCAAATCCCTTTGGACTAATAAGATTATAAGAAAACATTAAACGCCATAATTGGATTTAAGCGTGCGAGGATTTATTTAATTATTTATTTTGACTAATAGTTAATTTTTAGTTAATGCTCTTTTCCTTTCACTCTCCTTTTCAACTACGCTTTTTATGCCAGAATGTAAATTAGATAGAAGATGCTTATTCAGGTTAAGAGAGAAAGAAGTGCTATTTAAACGAAGATTTTGCAAGTTGATTTTAGAGCGTGTTCTGCCTGCTTGAGGCCACGTTGTTACCATGACTTAATAGCAATTTGATTCTGTGACGCTGAGTGCTTCTAGCCATTAGGCTTGTCCCGCCACAACACGGCCTTCCTGCGTGCTTACTTTATCCTGTAAGCCGTTACGCTAGTTAATCACATTTTATCTTAAGTTCAACATTACTAATATAAGTTAAGCCAGAAGTGTTGGCTTATATAAACCCAGGTGTCGACTGTCATTTCTTTGTGATCGAATAAAAGGGTTATTTTACATCCCTTTCTCTAACTCTTTCTGCTGTGAAAGACCCGAGGATAATTCGTCTGCAGTCATTCTAGAGCTCGTGAGTTTATGTTACCAAAAAATACGAGACTCTATGACAGTATGAAATTGTGAAAAACGCTAAGAAAAATCGTAATGAGGAAAAAAAAATTTAATTTCAAAACTGTGAAATTGTGATTAATCAATGAGATTACTGAATGAATAAGGTCTCTCCTTTCAAAGCCTTGGGGAATCTGTCTGTACTTTGTAATTAGTTTATCGGCTTATACGTTGCTCCAAATTTCACAATGAGATGGAATTGGTTTTAAAACAACTATCTTCCGAAATTAAAAACGATTTCGTTAAGAACAACAGCTTCTGGCAGGTAATAAGATTACCATAATCCCCTACAGCTGATTTAATTAACCAATCTTATAAGAGGAATAAAGAAATTTTATCTATGTTACTCACGTATGAATAAATAATGACATAAAAATAAATTTCTTCTGACATTTTTGCAGTTCTAATTGGAATTACACTACGAAACTTTAGAAGCACACCGGAGGTACTTGCATTGGTAAGTATATGAAACTTACCGATGCAAGTGAAACTTAGTGTTGAATTTACCGATTTAACCCCAGATTTGCATAATTTAATTATAAAGGACATAAGCTAAAATGTAGGATAAAATTTCAAGAAATATTTGTAGTAGTTAAATTCTTCCTTTTCTAACATGAGACGATCACCTGGATGGTATCTTTAGGAGCTACGAATTGATAGTCCCGTATTCGATTCCAGATGCCCAAAACTATTATATTCATTATTTTAAGATATTTTATTTTGAAGGAAAATGTTTCCATGAAAAACGTCCTTAAGATACTAAGGTAAAAAAAGATGGCCCAGAAAACTTTTGTTCAAAAAGCAATTTCTAATTTAATTCGTTTAAATTTATACTTCTTAATGGAGTTATTTATGATTTATTTACTATATAATGCTCAAATATAAAATACTGTCATCAGATATATTGAATAAAGGGTCATAAAGGCAATTTAAAATTTTATTTACAGCATTGCTTTGTAAACATACAAATTCAATGAATGGAAAGAAGGTTCATTTTTCATTCTCTCTTGACAGTTTTAAGGTTAGGCTGAAAACAATAATGAGAAAATTTTAATATTATAAACACTATAAGAATTTCAGTCTCGATTTTTGGCCTTTTAGAAGTGCGCGCCTTTACATAGTATATATATACATTTTTGGGTCCTCTGTTTTTGAGTGTAGAAAAAATAAATGAACCTAACATCATATGATGATTATCGTCACTCATTTGTTAGAACGTCTTTTGCCAAACTTCATGAAACCTAGAACTTAAACGAAAGTTCTCTTCTTTTGGAAACTAGTTGGACTAAATATAGGTTTGTTTACTCAGTTGCTTTTTTGTATATACCTCTAAATTTAAGCCCCCATTTTATTAAATATTAAAAAAACTACACTTTTTTAAGGCAAAGTTATATATTCTGATTTTTTAAGTCTTTGGTGTTATTAGTTTTTTTTTCTTTCAGTTCTCATTTTAACTCAACCTTTGATAAGATGTAAATTATTCGTTTATTTGAGAATATATGTCAACTTGGATATGGAGATCAGAACAGGAACAAGGAATAAGAGAATACAATCTTTAGCCTTAATTCTCTTACGGTTTTGCTCCTTGATATTTGCTCAGAGATGAAGGGAGTATTTATTTAGAGAGAATAAGCACCTATAAATGGTAAGTTATTTTGACATATTATTGACTAGCAATGCATGAAATAGTGAAAACATTAGCAGAAAGCCGTCCTTTATAATTTGAAAGCTAGATTTTAATAATGCTTAGCTAATTTAAACCGTAATATAATCCTCAATTTTGGACTTAAAAGATTTAGCGGCTGTTCAGGTTTGAATTCTCTTAGGGCTACAACTTGCAACAGCCTCAGATTTCTAATCAGGGAATAAATATATTGTAACTTGAATTAAAGTTGAAAAGTAATTAGAGCCTTTTGAATTCAATTTCCTTTAAATTTCTGGAACAGTAAATTCCACGTTAATTCTATACGTGCTTGTGATTAATGATCATAGAGTTGCAAAATGTAAAGCTAGTCAATATCTTGCTTACTCTATGGCCTCCTTTAACTCATAATAATAAATTAAATAAAAGGGCGCAAGGAAGCAATTATGTTCACTGAATATTATGCTAACTTAAGGAATTAATGTTAACTGAAAGAATATGCACCTCAGAATGTAAACAAAAATTGTTTGCATTTTCACAAGCTCAATCTCTTTTAATAAGTTCCATATTTACCTTTTTCTATCTCTATCTCTATTTTTACATTTTTGACAAGCTCTAATAATTTGCCATAATATGTGATGAATGTTGTCATCTGATTTCTTTAATGATTCGGAAATTCTAGTTTAAACTGAAAATGTAGATGTACATGTCACAGCATTCCTGTAGAATGTTTTCTCGTTTGTAAAAACCGATTACTTAAAAAATATGTTTATATACACTGTGGTTATAATTAAAGTTCCAGTTTGAAATGGTCATAAAAGAAAAACTGCTGGACCAAATGTTATCAAACTTGGTAATCGTGTAAAAGAGGTCATGGGAAATTATTTTCTCTGGAAAAAAAGTTTAAAACTCATCACCAGGGGGAAATGGCGCTGTATGCAATATTATTAAACGAAATAAGGGTTGGAGTCTAACTTAACTTTTTATTACACGGGTTTAACATGTTGTATACCCTTAAGAAACATTTACCTAAACAAAATTACCATTTAAAGGCAATAAAAGTCGAGTGCGCCATCCGTGTAATGGAGAAGTTTGTTCATGAAAACCACAAATTAACGATTAGAAAATGTGATATTATAAATCACTCTAAAATATGTGGGCAATCCAGAAATCGTTTTCTTACAGATCGCTAATTTGGTATTTCTGAAGCCTGAATTAAGCCCTAAGACATGAAGATATCGGGTTAAAACGTTTTTAATCGTTTCTAAAACGAAACTGTTTGTGAGGTTATACAAAACCGCAATGGCTTGTAATTGGCTTACGGCAAGAAAAAGCAAATGATTTATGCAAACAATCTAAACAATTTGGCGGAATTAAAAGATGTGATACGCCGACATGTCCGTAATATTCTTCCTGATATGCTAAAGCCTGCTGTTGAGAATGCAATAATACGATTTAACTTGTTTTCGGAAAACGGTGGAAGTCGCATTGAACATGCTTGTAACACATTCCACAAACGATCAAACACATTTTAAACCTATGTCTTCATGTCTTATTTCGTTTAACAATATTGCATACTGCTCCATTTGCTCTTGGTGGCGAGTTTTGAACTTTTGTTTTCCCATGACCTCCTTTATACGATTACCAAGTTTGATAACTTCTGGTCCAGTAGTTTTCCTTTTATGACCACTTCAAAATGGAACTTTAGTTATAACCACCCTATAAATTGCCCGTGTTTCATACGATTATCATCTTTTCGAAAGGGAAGAAAAATGTTGTAAGCTACAGACACACAAACGCCGAACGCTTACAGTTTAAAATGAACTCAGCTACAGAAAAAGC